TGAGACGATTGGTTGACATTTTGCGAATGTAGTATTTATTGTAGAGTTCTCAGATTTTACCATAATGTTATGTTATGTTTGATGACTAGTGATACTATCATGCAGGTCAAACACAAATAAATGGAGCAAGGATTGAAACCATCATCCAGCCGTTAATAGTTTAATGGCTAAACAATCAGCAAGCTACTGTTAAAAAATCACAGTTGTACAAAGATAAGATAAATAAAAAGGAATCATAGGAAGAGAATTAAGAAGAATAGAATTCAAATAAACAGATTTCAGGTTGCATTGTGTGATTATTTTTCATGGCATACTTTCTGATGTATTACTTACTTGCTCCTGTTACCCCTCTTCGAGGAGAATAGGCCACCCACCAGGAATCGCGATACAACTCTGTCCTGGACAATCCCTCCCAGTTTTGTCCAGTTGCTATTTATTTTTTTCATGCATGCTTCCGATTCTCGGCGCAGAGTGCTATTCGGCCTTCCACTTTTCCGTCCCCCTTCATGATTGCAGGTAAGCGCTTGCCTCATGATGCAGTTTGGTGATTTCCACAATGTATGTCCTATACATCCCTCATAGTTATACCTTCTTGATGATGGTTATGGTAGTTTTAGCTTTAATATTAGTTACTAGAGAGAACTAAATTTAAGTGTGATGTGCCTTGAATTAACGGCAACAACGTTTAACTGTGCTATGCTATTTGAATATTAACAACTCCATTTTCCCTTCTAATCCTAGCTTAACCTAAAGGCAAATCTTGTGTAAAAAAACAATCATTTGGCTGAGAAATGAAAACGATTGATATTAGAAAGCAACATATGCATTTAAATACACATTCAATGGCCGTAAAAATGTGGTTAAAGAACAACGCATTAAACAGCTTCAGACCAATGAGGAACTAGTATATTTAAGTGGTGGTAAAAAGGAAGTATAGCTCCTGTGAGGAGTTTTACATGAAAAGATGTGGATGCTCACTGATGAGGAGTCCCATACTAGAATAAAACGGCCGTCCGTTGCTTCTAGGTGCTTCAATAGTGGTCTAGCTTACATGAACTCATGAATTCAACTATCGAAATGATAATTCACAATTAAATTTATAAAAGAGAGCATTAGAACTAGAAAAAGTGCTTCACGAAAATATTTTTTTTATTTATTATCTATATTATCAGAAGGGGTTTTGTGGATATTATAGTAATTTTGATAGTTGATATCATCAGTCAATTGAAGCTGGACAACCATGGAAAACCTGGAATTACTAGACGTTCGTTTCGTCCCAGTGTGGGACCCCTCAGCAGTGCGCAACCACGATCCCGCCTCGCGAGATTCGGACCACTAGACCACTGAGCCGGCCGGCATTCAACGGTGTTACTGTCTAACTTCAACGTCCAGGTTTTTCCATGGTGATGTAGTTTCAATTGACTCATGATCTCAACTATTAAAATTACTATAATATCCACAAAACCCCTTCTGATATTAATCACCATATGCTCACTAGTGACTGGCTCCATGAGGTATTTTTTGCAGTTCTAGTGAGAAGCAGTGACCAGTGGAGTTCAACCAAATCTGTTGTGAGATATTAACTCACTGAAGACATTTGTGGATATGTCGCTCAATTACATGGATCGGTTGAAATTAAATATTATCTATACACCAAATAATTCTCCAAGTATCCAGAAATGAACTTTTAATAAAATTTAAATTTATTTATCTATCCTTTACAGGAAATGTAATTTGTCTTTATTATCATTTGTGTTTAGTTCGATCATATTCTTCCTTTTCTCACAATGACTTACACTTCAAATGTACACGTTTATGATATATACAAAGAAAACTTGTAAACAAAACAAAACAACTTGACAAACAAACAATCAGTCAGTAAATAAATAATGAAACAAGATACTAGGCATTAAAGATGTGAATGACAGCAACAACAACAAAGTATTGAAGAATCATGCAAACCCATAAATATATATATATATATATATATATACATACTTTTATGTATAGACAGAAAGAAATTACATGAATTCCTCCACTCTCATTCTGTCGACAACAATGTAATCGTTTTTGTTTCTATATTTTTTAATTCGAATAGAAAAAAATTTCCTGTTCTCATAAAATTTGTTCCTTTTTTTTTATACTGTATTATATTGTTAAATTCAAACACTTGAATCCTTAGTCAACTTCAACTACCTATATTGTTAGTTTTATTAAAAAATAATAAAGCGAAGAGGGAGGGGGACAGAGGGGGTGGGGAGTGTGGAAAGAGACAAACATAATAGTTTGTATTTAGTCTGACGGAAATGGGTGTACATAATATCTCCTTTTTTTTAAAAATATATATTATAGGGGAAAAAACAAAAAAAAATTTCGTACCTATCATAAAACGTCTCTCTCTCTCTCTCTGTATGCCTATACTTGTCTCACTGTATTTAACCTCCATATATTTATGTGATTTTACAAATATTAACCGGATTTTCGTGTGAAGTAAACGAACTTCATTATATGTATGCAGGAGATAAAGAAGACAATGTATTATGAAGGATAGAAAAGGATGGTATTTTGATGAATGAATTTTTAACCAACAATATATATATATATATATTGTTATTTAAATTCAAATTGTTTTTTTTTGGTTTTACAGTCAGTCACAACGTAGAACTTCGTACGTACGTACGTACGTACATCAGTTCGAGTTACCATACCACATTAGCACACAGATGCAGTTGTCGATTCAAATCCCATTATGGTAGAAGTAGTAAGAGTATAAGCAGTAATCGGAAAGATTAGGGTTTGAAGACGTTATTGAAAGAGTATAATGTAGTGAAATAAATTTAGAAAAAGAAAGAAGATAGGAACATGAGGAATTCAGAAGATTAAAATTTGGTAAAACACAAAGAGTGGATGCACCTACACCATTGCAAACGATTTTGAGCCATGTCACTCAAACTCTCTAACCATCGATTGCTATCATCTCGCGAATCCCAACCGGGTAGTCTACACATACCAACATGGCTCAATCCACTTGTCAGTAACTTCATGGATTTGTGCCACGTTTTGGTCTGGTTGCCCCTAGATTTCTTCCAATCTACCACTACACAATAAAACACCGCTCATCGGGAGAGTCGGTGGTTGGGCATAAGTAATACGTGTCCCAGCGCGTGTTTGGTTTTAAAGGTTTTTCATTAGAATTTCTTTAAAATGAATCTTAATCTTAGTTTTTACTGAATGAGAAATTTAATTTAGAACCAAGATGGTTTTAGTTCAGAAAATCTTTGAATAAGTACTGCTCAGCATACACAAAGGAAGAAGCAAGATCCTCAAATACAACACAGAGAGGTCCAAACTAATCACACTTGATGTTGAAGCTATGGAAAATGTGGAATCTTTCACGTACCTGGGAAGCATTATTGATTAACAAAGAAGATCTGATGCAGATGTAAAGTTGAGAATTGAAAAAGCAAGGACAGGATTCCTACAGTTGAAGAACATATGGAAATCAAAACAACTGTCTGTCAGCCAACACTAAAGTTTGAATCTTCTATACGAATGTAAAGACAGTCCTACTATATGGAGCTGAGACATAGAGAACTACCACAACCATCATCAAGAAGGTACAAGTATTTATAAACAGTTGTCTATGAAAGATACTCAATATCAGTTGACCACATACCATCAACAACAACACACTGTGTGAGAGAACGAATCAGTTTCCATTTGTAGAGGGAACTGGGAAAAGACGATGGAGATGCATACGACATACATTGTGGAAATCACCAAACTGCATCATGAGGCAAGCGCTTACTTGGAATGACGAAGAGAAAGGGAAAAGTGAAAGGCTGAAGAGCATACTACGTAGAGAATCGGAAGCAGGCATGAAAATAATGGATAGCAAGTGGAAAGGATTGCCCAGGACAGGGTTCGGTGGAGTGCTGCTTGGTGGGCTATGCTCTTCGACGAGGGGTAACAGGCGTACATAAGGTAAGAGATTTTCTATTAACTTTTAATATATTTGTCAATGATGCAACTATTTTCTATTTTATTATAGATTACCATGTGTAAAATTATTCATCAAATATTTTTCTACAGCTTTAGTAAATATCGTCAAAAAGCAAATTTTGTTTTCGCTGAACTGTTTTTTTGTTGTTGAGTGATGCAATGGGCTTTTTTCGTTATTTTAATTCAACTCGTTAAATGAGAATCAAGTATTCAGAAAACACTAATACAAAAAGAGAACACGTATTAGTAGGCTATGTCAATCAATTGTCTTGTAAATGAATGAAAACTATACTAATTACACAACAGTATGTACATACATCACTCCTTCTTTACAATCAATATATTAGTAAACACTATCATATTAATAAAGTCCTTTAGTGCTAACTGAATTCTATCGATTAAGTCGTAATGTGGCAGCTAGTTAAAGGAAATCAACATCACACGCACTATGCTGATACGTAAAGTGGTGCTTGGAGGTGGTCGACAGTGAACCCTGGATCTAATACCCGATCAGCTCTAAGAAGAACTTGACATACATGACATTGATCATTGCCTAGTGGTCAATCAACTATAAATACATCGCAATCTTATAGAATGTCAGTTGCGTCCTGAATAGTTCAGTGGTGACGTATCACGCTATGAAGCTAGATGACACGAGATCGAATCCGTCAGATTGCATTATTTCTTTCAAGGTCAAAAGTACACCTTGTTGACAAGTACTAAAAAAGCACAAAACCTAGATTCAGAGATTCCAATGAACTATCCTTCAACTACCAAACACCACAATACTTACCTTAATGTAAAAGAAGCAAATGTAAATGCAATTATAAATGCTTGTATATTCAAATGTAAATAAATAATCACAATATTAATATTCATCAATAATAACAATTCAACACATAAACAAAGAATAAATCGAAGTTATTGAAGAAGAAACAAAAAGAAAAAAAAAGTAGAGAGAGAGAGAAAATAAACTTCAAAAATATAAACACCTCTATTCATGGTTTATAATTATGTTGAATCTTTTCCAAAAGTTTAGATTTCCATAATTCTTCTGGTATTTGTGTAGCCCATATAGGATATTGAGAGATAGGTAAATGAAAATTGGACATGTACATTTTAATTTTATCAGCTTTGTCTAGAAAATACAGTTTTTTTATTCAAACAAACAAACAAGAAAAAAGAAACAACAACTTATATTCAAATGAAATATACCGTATGTAAGAAATAATTAATAAGGTGGAACATATTGATAATTTTCATAGTTGAAATCATGAGTTAATTGAAGCTAGACCACCATGTAAAAACCTAGAATCACTGGACGGCCGTTTCATCCTATTATGGGACTCCTCAGTAGTGCACATCCACGATCCCTCACTCACGGGATTCGAACCCAGGTTGAAGTTAGATATTAACACCGGTTGAGTGCTCTGGCGCGAGAATGGTAGGTCCTAGGTTCGAATCTCACGAGGCGAGGTCGTGGATGCGCACTGATGAGGAGTCCCATAATAGGACGAAACGGTCGTCCAGTGCTTCCAGGTTTTCCATGGTGGTCTAGCCTCAATTGACTCATGATTTTAACTATGAAAATACTGAAATCTCCACAAAACCCCTTCTGATATTGATAATCGATACGTTTATATTCATCTCTTTTTTTAAAAAAACAAAACAAAAATGTTTTGATGACAACATACTCCTTATTAAAATATATTGAAAATTAATAAGAATAGTAGTGTTTTGTGAATTTGTCTATATTACACTATACCATAAACTTCAGAGTTATATCCTTGGAAAACATGTCCCGGAGTGATAGTATACTTACGTCACCTATGGTGAAGACGAGATATCCGTCTATCAATTAAGGGACGAGTATATTGTGCAACAGTTTGTTTTGTTTTATTTAAAGGCTGTGAAACGTGGCCGTTAAGGGTAGAGGATACTCGTAAGTTACTAGTATTTGACCACTGATGTCTTAGAAATATTACTTGCATCTACTGGGATCACCGGGTAAGTAATAGTGAAGTTAGTCACAGTGTATTAGGGAATGGTGGTAAATCAGTTGATGAGGTTGTGAACCTTCATCGACTGAGATGGTTAGACCACATACTATGCATGCCCAACCACCGATTACCACGGCGCGCAATGCTCATTAGTACAGGAGACGACTGAAATAAAGTGAGGGGTGGCCAAACCAAAACACGGCATCAGTCCTAGAAGTCACTGACTTCTGGTCTTAGCCATGTTGGTAGATGCAGACTACTTGGTTGGGGTCTGTGCTACTATCTTAACCAATGTTTGAAAACTCTGGGTGACATGGCTCAAGACCGACCAAAAAAGTGTAGGGGTACACACTTTCTATTTTCCTTTAAACCGTGAGGTTAAAATTACTCAGTACATTCTTTCTATGAACTAATTCTTTCTCCCGGCATCATATTCTTATATGTAATCTTTCTTTTATATATTACTACCATTGAAGTAACTACTTCTATAAATTTGGTGTTCATCTTATTGTGCTAATGAGGTATGGTAACCTGGGTCGATGAATATATGTGCCTAGTGATACGTTGTAGCTGGTTGACTGAGCGATAGTTCCAAGTTGAGTGTACACAAACCTGTACTTCATAAATGACATAAATTAACATTATTTTATTAAAAAGGAAGAACAAAACCTGTTGTAGAGATTATTTCTAGTACAAAAATTTAGACGTGGAACATCAATGTTGAATTGGCATATATAATCGTAGTTCAACCAGGAAAGGAAGGAGCAATTTAATTACCAAAGAAAGATAAATGTCAGTGCTAGTATGATGATTCACTAATAAATTTGGTTATGTATCGTAACTCACAGCGATCAACTCGAACAGACTTTAAAATTGAACCAATAAATAAAAAACAAACACGTAATCTAAGTGTAACTGTATAGCAAGTAGACATAAGAAGCGAAATTGATTGCATTGCGGACTAGTTAAAGAAATTTTGTAGAGATCGGCTTAATTTTTAGGCTCTATTCGTGACAGGTTGAGATCCGTTGGAGTTGCCCCATTTGTGATTGACTTTAGGACGTTCCTGAAGCAATAGTGATAATTTGAGACCAGCGAGGTCAGGCATGTGGGGACTAAAAGGATTATCACCAATAACACTGAATAAACGTTGAGATATATTACAAGCTGACTGAAGCTGGAAATGTACCATTGAATATTGACTAAGTGATACTAATAGCTAAGTTTTTGTCATGCGATACAAAGGTTTTGGGTTCGATTCCTAGTGTGGTTATGAATACTCACTGTTGAATAGTTTCATAATGGTACCACCCACAATCGAGACCTCACAAAGACGAATACAGTCTATAAATTGTAGATTGTTTAAGGTGAAGTCACTTACAAGAACGAACAAACAATATCATTTGAAGGTACCACTAGAAAATTCGTTCTATCATTCTGATTTGCGCACCTGACAACAATACAAATTCATATCCTAATCATCAGTATGAGACTGTTGTAGAAGTATCAAACTAATAACGACACAATTCTTTTAGAAGTATGCTCTGCTTTTCAATTATTCTCTACATTTGATTATTTTTAATAAAACCCAATTTGTGAAAATTTAAAATTAATACCGACAAAATATAAGTACCATATGAAACAACTCATTAAACAGTTGTAGAAATATTAGGAATAACAGGAAGATATGGTACGTCCAACAGTTATCCATCAATCAAAACATTACAAAATCATTAATTATTCCTCATATAGAAATAAAACTCAATAATATAATTGAAATCATGAGTCAATTGAAGCAAGACCACCATGGAAAACCTGGGAGCAATGGACACCCGTTTCAACCTATTATGCGACTCCTCAACAGTGCGCATCCACGATCCTGCACTCGCGAGACTTGAACCCAGGACTTATCAGTCTCGCGCCGGAGCACTTAACCAACAGACCACTGATCCGGCATCCAACGGTGTTAATCTCTAACTTCAACCAATCCACGATGTTTGAGCAACCGTTCACCAGTGGCCTCAGTGGTCTATCGGTTAAGTGCTCTGGCGCGAGACTGGTAGGTTCTGGGTTCGAATCACGCGAGGCGAGGTCGTGGATGCGCACTGATGAGGAGTCCCACAATAGAACAAATCGGCCATCCAGTGCTTCCAGGTTTTTCATGGTGGTCTAGCCTAAATTGACTCATGATTTCAACGATGAAAATACTGAAATCTCCACAAACCCTCTTCTGATCAATAACATAAGTCAGTAAAAAACGCCTCCTAATGCCCTGGTACGACCGAGAGTGGAGAGAGTCTGCTCTCCCTCTCGAAATGCTCTCACATGGCCACGCGAATATATAGCCTCTGATAGGGAATTCCTACTCACTGCCTTATCGAGGGGGCGTTGTTCACAAAAGTGAGAGGACGAAAAGCGAATGTCCGGTGCTATAACCGGGTTGGTAGTCATGGAGGGTCCACCTAGGGGATTTGGAAAACCCTGATTTCAAACCAATGGTGCACATGGGCTCCAGGGTCCTGATGGAACGAATGGCGTATGAACCTATTGTTGGTGACCGGCTACCATGGGACTGCATCTCCTCACGATGCTCCACTGCCTTGTGGATCAGACTTTTAGGTCAAAGGCTCGGGGTGTGTCCCCCTGAGAAAACCACCTGCTTCAGTCTGGGCACCTGGGCAGTATCTCAGCCCTCACACAAATCAAATAAGATTTGTGAGGCGCATATTTATCTGGTGCCTCTTTGTACCAATATTTATGTGTTTAAATAAAATAAAAAACGGTTAGGTTTTTGTATTACAAGTTCAGTTTAAGTTAATTAATTTAGAATTACTGATACGTAAATATACACATTTATGTGAGTAAAAAGAGATATCAACTTATAATTATTCGCAGTCAGCCAGTCATAAGCAACGTTGAATCTACCAAAGATAGATGTTCACCGGTTTCAGTTGACACAATTCACATCAGCACGGTTAGGTATGGTTATTGATGTGATCCGCAAAACTAGAAGCCTGAACAAATTACGGAAGCTATTTTCGGGGACGTTAATTCATTTAATTCAAAGCTTGTAAAACTGTAATATTTACTTTTGCCCCTAGCCTATTCTACAGATCATAAGCTTTCGTTTGATGTATAATTCATCGCCATAGCATTTTCTGCCCTAAAGCTATTGTCATTTAGACGTAATCTTTTGTACCCTATTTTCTACTATAATTCCCCAGTTTTGGACATGATTGTATTTTTCTAATTATTGTACGTTGTGGTCCGCTTAGTCATCTATTTATTCATGTAACTTTTCACCCTAATCTGAATTGGGAATTCGAGTGCTAGATCGGGTTGGAATAAAGTGATTAGTGTTCCATCTGTCTTGTCTTCTCTCTCTCTCTCGTGCTTGCCAGCCAATCAGGGACAGAATAGTTTTCGTCTCTCTACCCCTATTTCGAACTCACGCATATTGTCCTCAAGGTTAAGCCAGTCAGTCTATCGTGTCAAGGTCTTAATCTACATTATACTCCGCACTAAGTGGGTAGACAGATTCAAGGACGTAACAAAAGTGGCGACGGAGATTTTTTTTTTTAAATATTGATTGATCCAAATCAAAATGTCTGTTTCTTTGGACGACCTTAAAACTATTCTACAAATCCAGCAAGCTCAGAATGATGCAAACCAAATGAAGCTTTTAGATGCATTGATGCAGAAGCTCTCATTCCATTCATCATCAAATTCTCAGTCAGATAAATATGACAGCATCGCAAATTCTATTTGTGAATTCAATTATGATCCCGATTCTGGTATTATTTTCGATTCCTGGTTTCGCCGTTTTGAAGACACATTTCGTGTTGAATGCTCGAATCTTGATGATGCAGCCAAAGTTCGCCTACTCTTGAGAAGACTTGGAACACTTGAATATAAGAAATATGTAAATTTCATTTTGCCACAAAATCCACGAGATTTATCATTTAATGAGACAGTTCAAATTTTATCTAAAATTTTTGGTGAACAATCCTCATTATTCAGCATCCGTTATCAGTGTTTTCAAATATCTAAATCCTTATCTGATGATTATCTTACATACGCTGGACATGTAAATAAAGAATGCGAACGTTTTAGAATAAATGAAATTACAGCAGATCAA